GTTGAGGTTTGGGCTCTGTCCATGACTTATGTTACACTGCGTGTTTTTCTATCCAGGTATGCTTTTAATGCATTGGCAGTGTGGGTGGCATCATTGTCCCTCCATGACAATCAGAAGCCTTCCAGATGATTTTGACAAGATCTCCAACAACCAAGCTGGTTCCCTGTTGACGCATGTCTGTTACCATTTAATCTTCTGTGCTTACATTTAAGATCATGCTGTGTATGTTAGATATGTGTGTACAGGATCGTGTGCACGTGGAGGACTGCTGCAGTCCTCCATGCGGCTGTTATCTGTTATCTGCAGTACACAACAGATAACAGATAACAGCCGTGTATCATGAACATGTACCTGTAAGGACACCCAGAGACATGTAAAGATACTCCAGGCTGTTAGCAAAGGAGCTGATAATCAGACCAGCAGATGACAGCATGCCTCCGAGAATCACTGTAGCTCTGCAGGACAGACGGTTCCCAAGAAAACTGCCCAGAGGAGCTGCAGAGACAGTTTCAGTAGATTTGTTTTATTCATAAGATTTTTTTTCAATTAATGCCTCATTTTCAAAAGAAAAGCAAGTTTGTGTAGATGCCTGTTAATTACAAAAAGATTTGTTTCTTCCCCTTCTGGCCAAACTATACCCTCCTAACTTGTGTATGGTTTGATAAGAATATAAAAATTAAAAAAAAGGCCTGTATTTGTATAGTGCTTTTCTAGTCCCTAAGGACCCCAAAGCACTTTACACAACCAGTCATCCACCTATTCACACACACATTCACACACTGGTGATGGCAAGCTACATTGGAGCCACAGCCACCCCGGGGCGCACTGACAGAGGCGAGGCTGCCGGACACTGGCGCCACCGGGCCCTCTGACCACCACCAGTAGGCAATGGGTGAAGTGTTTTGCCCAAGGACACAACGACCGAGACTGTCCGAGCTGGGGCTCGAACCGGCAACCTTCCGATTACAAGGCGAACTCCCAACTCTTGAGCCACGATCGCCCAATCTTTAGCGATCGTTAGCCTTTGAAGTGCTTTTGATAACTGGTGCAAATGATCATCTTACCACAAAGCATAGTGGTGGAGTCTATCAGGCTGTGGATCCAGGCAGTGTTGGAGTAATCCTTCCCAAAGTGCATTTGAAACTCAACAAAGAACATGGAGACACATCTGCATACAGAGAGATTGTTCGTGACATGAATAAGGAAGGGTGAAATAAAGCAATAAACTGATGATAATAGGATTAGTAGCTTTCCTCAATAACAACTTCAAAGAGGTTTATTACATTCAGTAAGTCAATAAGAAAAGAGAAAGTCTTCATATCGAAGAACAGATAAAACATAATTAGTCTGTCAATTGGGCTAACACCGTATCTTCAGGTCAGTATATGATGGGGTCTTACATCCACTATCTATATCATGTATATATTAACTTTTGGGTGATGATTTGGGCCAAATGCAATATTAATTAGACTATTTAATACTTGCCAAATCCTAGTCTGTCAGATTTGGCAACAAAGTATAATGTTTATCAGTTTATGACAGGCATTTATATCAAACAAAGATTATATTATCTATTGAGTTATCAAACAGGGCTCTGCACTCCATGACCTGTATTTTTATTTATTAATTTTTTTTTATTAACCTTTATTTAACCAGGAAAATCCCATTGAGATTAAAAACCTCTTTTTCAAGGGAGACCTGGCCAAGATAGGCAGCAGCAGGTGTCTCACAGTTACAGAAATTACTCAAACACAGGCAGCAACAACACACATGCAACAATAAGTGAAAGAATACAAATATAATAAAATTCAATAAAATTCAAATAAAAATAAATAAATAAATAAAAAAATCAGTTAAAATGACAATCAATCTAATTGAAACAGTTGCATGTTATGGACTTGGCCTCAAGGATTCATAGTTTAGATTTAAAAGCACTTAATGAAATAAATTCAGTCATTTTCCATTCCTTCTGCAGTTTGTTCCAAGCCGAGGGTGCTAAATGGACAAAAGCTCTTTTACCAAGTTCAGTTCGGGCAAATGGAACATAAAGCAAAAAGTAACCATGCGGACGAAGAGAATACCAACCAGCATGTTTCAAGCAGGGAACATAGATAAGAAGGCAGCAACCTAAGTATCGCCTAAGTATTTTATTCACCCTTGCTTTCTGTTACTTAACACCAGGCAGCACTTCTAGTTCTTGAAGCCTCAGACAAGAACAGTGCTGTAAATCACTCACCGCCTTGATAAAATTCACATTAGAACAGAATTCGATGTATTATTATTTTCATCATTACACACTTTTTCATTTCTTGTACTTTGTTTGCCAGTACTACAAAAGCTTTAGCAATGTTAGCTTTTATTTCAGGCAGAGAAACAAACTAGAGGATGAATGGCTTTCTTTGTTCTTCAATTTTACAAGCTACAAATTTGATACCTTTAATGATTAACAATCTAAGACGTTTTCTCTAACATCCTGTTAGGTGTTAAAAAACAAAACAAGAAAACATATTTTTTTCCCCCCAGGAAAATCTACGGTTTCAAAATCAAATATATACTATAGGGGTGACCTCACAGGGTTGAAAGATTATATTATCTATTGAGATATATGGCAAGTGACATTATGTCCTGCGTGAGCTGGGGTGGTTGGGAAATACTGAGTATTATAAAGAGCATGGAAAAACACAACACTTCACCAAACTTCTTCCTCCCAGCACATGCTGTAAACTATCCAGGTCACTTTTTTTTTTTTTTAAATCACACATTTCACCCAGTTTGTTTAGTTTCTATAGTGTAAATCTAGAGATAGCCTTCAATTAAAGCCAAACACCAGATTGTGGCAGACCTGTGGAAGTAATGTACAGTGACGTAAATGTGGAAACATTTCTGCAGGATTTCAAAGTCTTAGTGGAAAAAAAAATATGGCTGCTGAGATGCTTAAAACTTGGAAGTGAGTCAGAATGGATTATTGCCAAGTAATAACTTTGAGGTGTTAATAATCAAATCTAAGAACATAAAGTCTTGCTAAGTACAGCTACATGTCAAAACTGCATATTGCATAGTAATAATCCTACATCTGCTACAAAAGGCTAAGCTGGAGCTTTGTACACCTGGAGGTGAAGTCATGTTGAGTAGTTTGTGGAGAATAAAAATTTAAGTACACCAACGAGTGGAAATAATTTGCTGTTGGCCTGGTGCTCTTAAATTAATAACAGATCAAATCATACAGTGAAATACTAAATGGAAGCTGTATCACAAGCATATAAAGAGTGTGCCCAGTAGTGACAATGGGAAAAACCACAGCAAAATCTATGGATATGGATATGGATTTTGTAGTTTTTAAGCATAATTAGCTTCAAAGTGAGGACTGGTACCTGGTAGTAGCCTTAAACCAACACAGATACACACTCCTCACCTGGTTACTGCTCGGGTGCAGATGGTAGCGAGAAAACAACCAGCGACAATCATCCAACCCCAGCCTCCTTCAGGCTCGGTCCGGACTCCAGATGCACTTTTGCCTCCTTCAAGTGTCTCCTGCTTGGTAACTGCCATCCCTCCAGCCATTTACAGAACCAGCTGATGTCAGCAAACCTGTCTGTTACATGTCTCTTAAATCACCCTCGTTTGTCGGTGTGCCTTCTGCCACCTCCTGAGAAATTATAGAAATTACATTATCAATAAGTATAACATTAAACCTAATTTCTTATGTATTTGTTATTGTTATGTCACATAAATACACAGTATAAAACTTTTTTATTACACATTCACATACCAGTGCATCTACACAAATCCCTGGGAGGGTTGTGTCAGGAAGGATGGCTGCAGCGTAAGTCTGTGCCAACCCCTTCTTAATATGGGAGCAGTCAAAAGAAGCAATTACTGAACATTTTAATAACAAAAAACAAAGAAAGATGACGTAGTCTTTTTGGACACCACAATGGCCTTAAGAGTTTAGAGTCAGTTGTTTTAGTTACTGACTTCACAGATTTCATGGTTGAAAAGTAGGTCAAGAAACTCAAACAAAGTACATTTATTGGAAACACTGACCATGCAAATGCCACAAACGGTGCATATGTAGTTCACTTAGATCCTTTAAGTTAAAACTTTTGTATATTTTTAGTATGGGACTGTCATTTCTACCGGAAGTAATTTATATGTGTTGTTATGGCTCTGTTGTAGGCAGGTAGAAAGATACCAATATGATATTTATGTATTTAAATATTGCATGAAAGCAAGGGATGGGGTCGAAGTGGGTTGCAAAACAGCTTGCAGCAGTGCAGGAGATATGGGCAGGTTCAAACAGCTTAAATAGTGAACCCTATATATGATTAGCCAACTCGATTCACAGGCGAGAATCAGCTGAGAACATTAGGCAGTCTTTAACCTGCCAGCTCCTGAGTACAAAGTCTCTGCGATGTCAGATTGTGTTGATATGCAAAATGTGTATGTTTCCATTTCTTAAGCTCCAGGTTTCACATTAGCTAAATTTGTTTTTACAAATCAGCTCCTGGGTCTTAGCTTTATGTGTGGTGACAAATACGACAGAATAGCCAATAGAACAGCAAACCTTCAAAATTAAACACCAGAAAAAAAAAATACAAACAATTAAAACCTTAACAAAAGACTAAAATGTAAAGTATTGCACTTGGCCTATCTGTGCTTTTGCAACTCCACTCATGTGTTTGTCCAAAGGTTTGTGTGCAGCTTCTTTTGTTAGGTCATATGTTGCTCAAAATGTTATCTTGACAAAATAACAGGTTAGTCTGCATGCCTGTGCTACCAGCAAACTTATGAAACACAGAAATTCCACCCTGCAGTAAAATGCAAACCTTTTGACTCTGAAACACTAAAAAGTTTACATTAAGTCATTGAAGACTGTAATTTGTTGTAAAATATGGCCACAGAACATTTGATTTCGCTTTATATTCATTTGAAAACAAAAAGGGAAAAGTATCCATAAGAAATGTAAATTAGTACAATTCATGTATTATGACTGTCATCTAAATGCATGCTTTGTTTTTTCAGGTAAATGCATTTTTTCTGCTGTTTTTCGCAGCAGCCTTTTGCAGTACAAGTCAATACAGAGTAAACATCAACACAGAGCCTATGTGGGTTAGAGGGTCAAGGAATGGAACTGGAAAGAACAACGAGCTGGAACAGAAACAGCAGAGCAGTACTGAACAAGACTAAAACACAAAAACAAGTGAGAAGTACGGGTGTTTGCTTACAGCCTCCAGATAATCTCCGCTCCCCTCCGTCACCGCTACATGACTCAAGTGTTCATCAGTAACGCAGAGAACTTCCATTGATAAGAAGTGGAAGCTAATTGGCTGATCCTTTGACGCATCAGCACGCTGCAGTGGAGCTACGCTTCCGCCATTGGAGGACTGAAGATGAGTTTTTTTAGACTTACACAAAACGCTATGCACGCAATAATAGTGATAACAGTAAAAATGATATTGTTTTTTCAGGTACACGAAACCAGCAGATTCCCAAGCATTTGTTGTGTGTATTTAGTTATGAGTACTTACAACGACCCTAAACGTTTTTTAATGTCACAACAACACGTAAATGAGTCTTTTTCTCGCTACCCAACTCTGCTCAGATCTGTGTTTTGTATATGCAAAGTCAACTCTTTTAACATGGCCGAAAGGCGTTTCTTCCACCGACTTTTTACTTGTAAAATGTGTATTTATTGGCACGTAAATTACAATTGTTTGCCGATAGTGGTCGGCAAACAATTGTAATAATATCTGCCAGCTAATATACCGCTGGGTTTTTATAATAATGAAAAAAATATATATATATTTTATTTATTTTATTTTCACTTTTTTGCAGTGCCATATTTAAAAATGTTCAAAATTTGTTTTTTCAAATCTGTCTTGCAATTTCCTTTAAAATGTTTTCTCCCAGAGGTGGATTGTTTTGCCAATTTTCGCCCTGACTTACCAATGAATGCCTGCCTAAATATTTTAGTGGAGATACACTGGACGCCCACTTTAATATTCAGTCCCAGTGCATACAGATCTGTATCTATTTATATATGTTTTATGTTCAGAAATATGTTCAGAAATTTATGTTCAGAAACTCCTTAACCTGTATGAATCTGCAGCACCCCCTCTGGCAAAGTGCAGTATTTTTGAGATTTTATTCTAAAGAAGCTCAGCATCTCATTTTATGTATTTACTTGTTATTTTTCAGAATATAAAAGAAAGTGGTAATTGTTCACCCTGCTACCAGAAAAGTGCAACCATCAGATCATAATATCCATAATACTTTTACTGTGTCATCCAGTCAGCTTGAAAAAAAAATTAGTTTTTTTTAATAAAAAAATAACAAATAAATAAATAGTTACGGACTCTAATTGTAGCTTTCACATTTAAACTAGCTATAGTTTATTAGCGTTTTTTTCTAACTACTTCATGCTTTTCATCTTTATTCTGTATAGATTGCAGAGTACCTTTCATTCGAGGTCAATAAAGAAATATCCAGAAAAAATTTCATCCAGTTTTAGTTTTATTTCTCTTTAGAAAAAAAAAATCTCTTCACTTCAGTACATACACATTGCACAAGGCAGGGAGCCATTTTTTTAAACTGACTTTTTTTAAAAACCATTTTCCCCCCAAATCAGAGTTAAAAGCAGCAGCAGAACTGATGCTGACAACCAGCACTGGGATTCCCAAAACTTCCCAAATGCAGGCGAGCCAAGGTGAACAACCAGCACTGAAATCCAGCAGACAGAAAACAGGCAACCCCCCCACTGAGGCCACCAAAGAGCATCCAAACAAGCTTTGATTCAACAACTACATCTTTCATCACCATCTAATGTTAAGTTGAACTTAGATTAAGAAATAACCTTGGTAACGAAGTAAAATGGATTTGAATTCAATGGGGAAATGTATACAAACAAGTGGTAATAAATGTAAAATGTATATATATATATATATTAATTATATATCCAATTGGCAAATTTAACACAATTACATGTTAATGTCACAAAACTTAGTATCTAGTTAATCTAATCAATCACAGCACAATTAGCCAACAGTTTTAAATTACAGCCCCAATAGAATTATTGGCAAAGGTAATAACTCTGTCTTGTCTTGATGCATTTTCTGTCTGCATTGGGATTGTGAGTCGTGCTTGGGAAACCTGGCTCTGAACAGTTAAAACAACTTTATCAACGGACAGATTGCTGGTGTAGAATATATCATATTAATATTTACAAAATCTCTGTACAATCAAATACACAATATCTGCCCCGCCAGTCAAGCATTCCAGAAAACAGTTAAAAGGCTGGATGTCTTCTCGTACCAGGATGTTCGACCAGATTAACAACCTCTGAGGAAATGTTAGGAAAATGGTGTGAAAGATATTAGACAAGCAAAAGGTCAGAGGAACATGTCATCACAGTGGCTTGTATTTAATATTAGGTTTCACTAACACTACAGAGCTCCAGGACATTTCAAATACTTTTTCCCCCTCAAACATCCATCCAACATGATAGACTAGATTAGAAGAACATCTGGCACCATTCAAAAATAACTGTCAGACACATCTGGAAAAAAAAAGAAAAGAAAAAGAGCTTCTTCTGCTGCATAATTGGGTCTGAAACATCCTGATTACGAGCATCCACCTTGATTAGTGTTAACTAAATCAGCAGGACAGAAACTTCAGGAGGAGAAACTCTCTCTCTGTCAAGATTCAAACAGGATTTCTCAGAAGGAAAAACTAACAGGGTTGCATATCTTTTAGAGTAACATCAAGTCAAATCAACTCTGGTAGGTATTAAAGAAGAGACGTGGGGACAAAGATATCAACAGACGAGATACTGCATAGCTTGTTGGTTAGATTTCACTATGATGACATAAGATTTGCAGTTCAGTGGACACTGTAAGCCAGGGGTCCCCAATCCCAGTCCACGATGGCCAGTGTCCCTGCAGGTTTTAGATGTCTCCTTGATCCATCACAGCTGATTTAAATGGATAAATTACCTTCTCAACATGTCTTCAGTTCTCCAGAGGCCTCGTAATGAACTAATCATGTGATTCACGTGTGTTAACCCATGGTGAGATCTAAAACCTGCAGGGACACCGGCCCTCGTGGATTGGAATTGGGGACCCCTGCTGTAGGCCAAGACTCTGTACAGTACATAGAAATACATACTGGTCTGAATACAGATGGTCCCTTCCTATGGGAAATAAAACACCAAAAAAGTGTTAGTGATGTTCAAGCAGAAAACTCTAAATTCAGACTGCTGTGAAAGCAGACAGACACCCACACTGATCACTTATGATAACAGAAAAACCCACCACTTAGTAGTTCATTTCCTTAAAAGGACTTAATTCTTGTTTCACATTTTATCTACAGCATGATGCAGTTCCATAAACATTTTATCTGAAGAATTTAAAACCCAGCAAGTGTTCTCATTAGAAACAGTGAAGCTACAACAGTATGCAAGTACACCAGTTAGTTTCAACAATACTAAACGTATCTAAACTCAATATAATCCCATAATCCCATAATCCCACAACAGTCTATAACACCAGCTTCAAATTTCTGGAGTATGAAAATTATGTAATAGCTTGCAATTGTTAGTGGGGATATAGGGGTGAACAGTAACATTAACAACATATCATTTATGTTCTACAGTGATTATGTATCATCTCAAAATGCTTCCCCTAACACCAAGTAAAAAGATACAACCACTGGTTTCCATAAAAAGATGTTCCCCTGTGCTGCGAAACAATGTTCTGCAGACAGTGGTGATATGTGTTCAAAAACTTGCTAAGATAAACTCAACGCTTTCCCACAGATTTCTGCACATTGACAGATTATGACGGCTGGAAGAAATTACACTGGTCTGTTGGGCCAACTGAAATCAATGGAAACATCAATAGAGAACAAAACAAACAAAATAAAACAGGCATTTTAGACATTTTGAAATCACACACACACAAAGATGCCAACTCACATTATCACTCCTTACTGGCCACAAAAAATAAGGATTAAAAAAAAAAAAAAGACAGTCACAACCTCTACCAAAATAAAATAAAAAACAAAGGAAACCAAAGCTAGCGCATAAGGTTAATGTTGTTTATGTACCAAGATCCACTTGGGACTGCAGGTGGACACTTTGATATTCAGACTCTGAATGGGTATTAACTGCAATGAATCTTCTGTTACAGTACTAATGAAAAGGAAAAAAAAAGCAAGTGTAAAACTTAAAACTTGTAAAAATGAGGTGAAGTAGCAGGGAACTGAAGGGCACAAACACGGTGCAACCAGGCTAACACATGTTAAAAGGCAAATGATTTGCTTTTTTCAGATTAAATGAAGTGGTGGCACAAGTTATCAAACTCCAGCCTGATTTTAAAGCAGAGTGGCACCTGACAGATTGAGGTCACTAATTAACATCCAAACATCAGTTGGTACAAGGCAAAGGGGGGAAAACAGAAAAAGAAAAACACACAGAGAAGAAAGCATAGCTTGTGTCACAGTTTGCAGTGTCATCACAGCTAAAAGAAAACATCAGGAAACATTGATCATTTTTGAGGAAGCAACTGCAAAACCTCTCTTCACAATATTATGCCTCCATTATTTCACTACACTGTTACTCAAAACACTTGCATAAGTGATGGCATTTACATTGTTCAAGCCATTACAAAGCTTATAAAGCCTGTTAACCTTTCAGCAGAAATTGAATACAAACTTTTAGTATGAATCACACTGGCTGGACTACAATGAGACAGATAACCCAAACCATTTGTCACAAAAAAAAAGTACAATTATCTATTTTGATTCGGTTCAATCACCAAATGGGAAACGATGATGCATTTTCAATTCACAAGAAAATCTTTATAGATGTTATTGCACTATGGGTGTCAGATTAAAATAAACGTTTCACAAAAAGTGGTCTATGATCCTACCCTCCTATGTGTTAAACAAACAGATCAGCAAAGCAGCTTAAGGGTCAGGGTCAAAGTGTAGTCAGTGTGTATGTTAGATGGTGAAGTGGGGACAATATTTGTCAATAAAATGTTCAGAATACTTTAGTAGGCTACATTAAGCTAGATCCTTAGGATTTTACCCTTGTAATTTTAAGTTTCTGTGTTATTCAGGTACTGTAGGTAAGATTTTCACGAAAATCCGCAATACTGAACACAGCTGGAGGTGTGAGTGTTGATAAAAAGTCTAATGATTAAACGAATTAAGCGACGACTAACTCGAGATTGCGGAAAGAGCATAGTTCCTATTCGGGAGAGTAAAGGCAGGTAGACAGTTACGCCTAATATAAAACAGTGGACAGTATTTCCTGCTTTGCCCAGCTTTATAGCTCAGCTGCTTTTATGATAAAAAGAAAGGCTGTAAAGGTTCAGGCTAGGAAGTGAAGATGGGTGGGACATAACAGCGTAATACACTTGTGGTCTGTTTCTCGAAAAACACTAGACAATTCTTATAGCAAATGGAAAATTTACTAGTAGTGGGACTCTCTACAACTGTTGTTTCTAAGCTTAGTAAATAACACAAACCTTTCCTGTGACCATGCAAACATGCGCTCATGTTAACTAAATTTCAGCATTCTCAAATAATCGCAGATCACGCTATGTTTCCTTTAAAAAATGGCAATGCTAAATTATTACATATTAAAGCTCTACGTGCCATTTTCAAGTATATGATAAATATACAAGTGTGTTACTTTAGCCCCGGTTACCTCAGTGCAGAAATCTGGACTGGCTCTCGGTTCAAAGGGTCTGAGTCTCTGATCCTAAGTGTTAAAAATAGACTTGTTTATAGTGCTAGTGTCAATATAGACTTAGATCAGTGCAAACAGGCAGTAATAGCATATGAAGCCCATTCTCTGTTCAAAGTCTACCACATATTTGTGGCTAATACTCACCAATTATTTCAATTTAGACAATTTGTTTTCATGGTTGTTTCATAGCAAGCATAAAGTACCTGTTTAAAATTCTTGGGAATGTTGGACAACTCTTAATATTCTGTAAGTGCTTGTTTTTAGAGACGAGTAATTGGGGTTTGGGGGAAAATACAATTAATGGACCAAACCTAAAACAGCTACCAACAGTGTCGGCACCAGAATGGTAAACAGTCTAACATGTTGGGATGACTCCCCCAAACTGACACTTTACTTTTGCATCATCAGCTAACTATTTTTTATGTTGGGATTCTGAGTCTGAACATTATTAAACTCACACTACAAATCCCCAAACAAGGCATCAGCGTGGCAGAAAAGCCAGAAAAGGATGAATGAAGCTTCCATCTTCCTGACACTGACAGAAAACAGGGAAGTTAAAGAAAAACAGAAATAAATATAAAGATTAGATCAAGTATTTCATACATCACAAACACAAGCCGCCGAGTCAGACTGGGTCCTCAACAGTAGTTCTGGCGATGCCAATCAGAACAGAACAGAACAGAAATCAATGATGCACTGCAATCTGTTGGAAGACAACGTCTTGGTCCCGTCACCTAACACTAAACTCAGCAGGTTGAGTATGCATGCATGGCAATCTGGTGGTGCTAGTTTTGCTTACATATAGGCAGACAAAGGAGAGACAAACAAAAAGCAAAGGCCATATGCAGTAGAGCAAAATAAAAATCGTTTTTTGTTTGTTTGTTTTTTTGCTTCCCGTTGGAGCTGAAGGAGGCAGGTAAAGTATGAATCTCAACAGGTTTTGGCTTCAGTGCACTCTGCAGAAACAGTAGAGCAATGGGCTACTTTTTGTGCAACAAACCGGCAACCACAGCTGCCCAAAGGTGATGTTTCCTTGAGTTGCTGGTGGTACAAATCCCTCATTCAGCAGTTAACTCTTCTGCAAAGCTATCCTATTTTAAAGAACTGTTGCACAAATTGTTTCCCGGCACACTACTGTCCCCAGGATGTAATGCTACAGTAGCTATTCACACAAACACATTAACAAAATACACTAAAATACTTTGTGTCTCTGCTTCCTGACATAGGGCTGATTACACGAATCAGCAGACCCATTTAACGGAAACCATAAATAAAAGATTACAATATTAAACCTCTATGATGGGGGATGATGGGAAATTTAAGAGATGAATATTAGAGGTCATTGTTATTTACAGGTGTTAAATTATTAAAAATGGCTTTTATCAGTTTCTGTGTTCTCTCTTAGTGTTCCTTTTGTGGCCTCGACGAATGGGACCTTTCAGCAGCTTCAAAAGTTGATGATGTCACAGCATTAAGACATCACGGCCTTCAAGGGCAGGTGACATCGTCTTGTCAAGAGTTGATGTTGTCCTGACAGAATTTCCTTCAGGGGTCCTCTGTTGTCTTGAGCAGCTCCATCAGTGCTCCCACAGCTCCAAAGTAACCCTGGAGCAAAAAGACAAGCAAATATATTTTATAGGCTTTTATCATGTAACCAACCAGTGCTTTGTTTCTGAGGGTATATATAATGATTATAATTATTATAAACACATTAAGTAATTACTTTAATTTAATAAAAGGACAGCCGTTTGCTCACCTCGTGTTCAAGGAAGAGAGCTCTTAGTTGGCCTTTGGACCAGTAGTCCATGGCATAAGCTAGCAGCTTGGTGGACACTGTGTTGATACGGAGGAAGTTCCCAACAAACACCACACGCTCAATTTTCTTATGAGAAAAAGAAGAAAAAATTAATTTTAGAGAAACTGAGACCCAACAAACAAGAGTTTAAACAAGTAATTCACAAATTGTTCTGATAATGAAGAAAGGTCATTTCTAAACACTCCTGTCATCTTAGTAATGACTCATAAATAGCTACACATAAAACATGTTAGGTTATGTTCTCTTTATCTTTCAAGAGTTCAGCCAATATACTTAATTTTTAGATCTAATATTTTTATAGGCTTTAAAAATCCTTTATTAGTGTGACTCTAAAATCCTCACATATGGCCTAACAAGGAATAATGCAGAGTTCTTATTTCTCTCCCCTCTGTCCCTGGACACGGTCACCAAAGTGATACTAAATCCCAGATCTTTCATTTGGTAAATTTTTGTTTATGACATTGACATTTAATCCATGTCATGCAAATCTGATTAAAAACTGACTGTAATAAAGGCATATAATCTGCAAATACAGTAATAAAGAAAATATAAATAAAATAAAGGTTCTCGAGCACCACCACATGGTGGTGCTAGAGAACCAATAAACAAACACTGATGAAATCTGGTAGAATACCAAAGACACAAAAATGTTGAAAAACATCCTGCTGTGGTGTGTGCGAGTGTGTAATTCTTCCTGAAAACTTAGGGTAACTTTGTGTTTGTCGATGTAGCTTAAACAGCACAATTCTTTGCCAATAAAATGGTCAAATACAGGACTGAAATCCAGTTATCAAGATTTTTGTTTATGATAAAATGGGGGCCTTAATTTTATTACTAAGGCTTTCAGAAGTCATTTAAAAGAAACCCTCCATAACCCTATATATGCACGTTTTTCTTCGCTGCAGCTCTGCATGCAGTGATAGCCCTGTACAATGCTGCTTGATCGCCATGCCACAAGGCAACACTGTAAAGAAGCTCACAGCATGTAGAAATACTCCAGACTGATCCTTTACTTCAGCTTTAGCTGCTATGGCTTTGGTTTTTAAATTAATTTTACAGTTGCCTATTAAAACTAATAAATTGTTGTCACATAGTACCAGTAGCCCCAATCCCAGAATTGTTTTCTAGCTTACAGCTGCCTATTTACAAAATATTACAACAAAAGTGTGAAATCTGGTGATTTTGTTTTTGCCAGCAAAAACCCCCCAAAACATAAGCATGGTTTAAAATATAAACAAATCCAGCAACCTTACCAAAAGAAACCCCAAACTTAAAATTAAGGAATATATTTGGACTTCTAAAAATGCAAAAACAAAAAAACTAAACAAAAAAGAAAGCTCCACCCTCCACCACCACCACAGACACACACAACAACAAAGAACTTTTCTTTTCTATTGTTAAATAGCTATAGCAAGCCATAAGATGTAGCTTTTGAATGTGTTTGTAAAGAACAATTAGTTGATTTCATGTTTTCGGTAATCCTGAGTAGCCAGTAAAGAGTAGTTTAGGTGTAGGAGTGTCGATGGGTGATGCAATGACTAAATTCTGGTCTGGGTGTCTGTTTCTAAGAACTCAAAGAAACTATCTTAGAGGTTTATGAAACAGTAGATAAACTCATGCAAGTATCTGTATTACATAACCTTTATATGGCTGTTATGATTAGCTGGGTATAGTTGACTGATTCAGCATGTGTGTGTGTACCTCGTTGACTGCACACATGCGTGCTATGGATCCTATGTTATTAGTGATGGTGACCAGAGTGGCTCTGGCCAGGTCTTCCTTACTGATGCTGTCTCGCTTCTCTTTGCTCATCATGTGACCAAAACTATAAAAGAGACCATAAAGAAAACAACATGTAGAAGACATTTTCCTCAAAGTTTGATTAACTTTTCACATTAAAAAAACCAAACAAACAAAAAACAGAAACAAAAAAAAAAGTGAACCCGTAATTTCTTCAAAAACCTTTTGAAGCAACTGTCACTGGGTGTGTGTGTGTATTTGTGTGTGTTTTGTTTAATTAAATCACTAAAAAGAACACCATAACAAAACACTGATTAGAACTTGATAACTGTGATTACATGTGTTTTTTACAATGCTTTATGGATCAACTTTGGACCCAGAACTGCAGGTTTACTGTATACATGGTAAATTCAGTTTAACCAGAGCACATGAGCCTATGTGTGTCTCTGTGTAAAATATTTATTACTAACTGTTCATTTATTGGTATGTTTTTGCTTTTTTTTTGCAATTAAACAATGTCCACACAATTTTGGATAATTTATCCTCTTATCTCATCGTGCTAAATGAGCAATTTATGTGAGCACATAAATCAGAGCTTTTAGCTCACTCATCAAGTTCCAATGCAATTTCATCCACTTTACACAATTAGATTATTGATTAATCAGGTGTTTTCCAGCTTTTAATCAGAGACACAGATTAAGATTTACTCTAGTGTTGTATCCGCATCTACAGTGTGTTTTTTCCCCCATTTTATTAATCTTTTATAGTTAAAATTAGGGTTGTTCGATATAACTATATATATTGGATGACGATATAAAAACATCGCTATCGTTTGTTTCGTGGTGTCGCAAAATAAACTGTTTACGGCAATATTTTTTCATCGTTTTGATGGTCACTGTAGTGGCTATATTAATTTCTTAAAGCTCTCTTTTTCTCCTATATTTAATATAACCACGCTACCGACGGAGAGCGCCTGTTTTTTATGCGTTGTCGTTACCAACGACGATGGTAAAACCCTCGTGTCCGCTTATTTATTTTCCACATAAATCTTTCACAATAAAGCTCAAGATCCTGTTGAGACTTTGTGTCCGCTTATTTATTTTCCACATAAACCTTTCACAATAAAGCTCAAGATCCTGTTGAGACTTTTCAAAATAAACGGAATCATGTGAAAGAGTATGCAGAGTATTTACGGATGAGAAGCAAAAAAGAGCCATCAGGTGCTAAAAAAATAAACCTTTGACTCAAACGTTAGAACAGGCTTTTCCCTGCTGCACGCTGCGTAATAAATACTCACAAAGAAAACGGCGGCCGTTACAACTTATGTCTAAAAATGTATAGTATCATGCATCAGTTAAAACATTCGACTCCAGGTACACGACGCCCAGCTTGAAACACTTCACGCAAGTCGAGCTGCCCGACATTCACAGAATTTTCAGAAAATTTAAAATTTTTGTGATTTATATCGTTATCGGACGATAGATATTTTATATCGGGATATAAGATTTTGGTCATATCGCACAGCCCTAGTTACAATAACCAAATAGTATTTTAACAGTAAACAATGCAGTCCACCACAGATGCAGTGCAGCCAGCTGAAATAAGCTCCTATAACATCTCCTGTGACATCTACAAAAATTACAAGTGTCACATACAGTCATGTGAAACAGCACAACATTGTGAAAACTAAAGTACACTCTTATTGCTTCCACAGAAATAAAGAGCAGACAGACTCTCTTAATCAAATGCAACAGATTAATTGTTTATAAATCATCTGCAGCTGTGATCACCTATATAAAAGCAGATGGTTTGCCAGTTTGCTGTTCTGGAGTGTTCAAGTTAGTTTTAACACAATGCCACAATATTCCTAGGAGTGGACATGCTAGAAACCTAAGAGCTACATCTCAGATTTTACAGGCCTCAGTTAGCATGTTAAAATTCACTACAATAAGAAAAAGACAGGTAGGTCAAATGTGAGGCCATCCGTCTAACATTTAAAATGTGGCCCCAATTTGGACATGCAACTGGACAATGATCCCAAGCAAACAGAACACCTGAGAAATAAAACAATCAAGCTGTTGCAACGGCCCAGTCAAAGTCCAGACTTGGTGGGACAGGTCTCTTAATGTCAAGCAGATAGTCAGAGATAACGCTTACTTCAAGTTAGTGCTTCTAAAGCTGGTTCTACAAGCTACTGAATCATGAAATGCACTTAACTAAAATGTTCAGTTTCACATGAATTCACTGGTTTTCATTATCATGTCAGAAGCGAAGACATCGGACAACCAGACAAATACAAGATGTGCATCCTGGTCAAAGTTCAGTAATACAAACAAAACACAGCTCTGTTCATTGCATCACACTGTTCTATTTATTGTCTATTTTATAGTATGTATACAAACACTCCTGGGATCAGTCTGTATTTCATTGTACCGCTAAACAAACAAAAACAAGAAGCTTTAAAAATATAGAAAGAAAAAAAAGTGATGTTACCTGGATGCTACAGCAGAGCCCTGTAGACCAAATCGCTCGTAGTCTCCCCCATAGATATCTTTCACAAGTTTGTCCACATTTGTAGAGTCACCTTTGCTAGCCATTTCCAAAGCCTCCTCAAATGTCTCACAGCCAGTGAGCAGACAGCAAAGCCCCAGGAATGTACCACCTCCCAGACTGAAGGTAAGAAAAAGAAAGGGTGTAAACAACATAAATTATAGATCAAAGAAAAAGAAGGGAGAAAAATGCTACTGAAGTTTAATGAAGCAATTGAAACAGTGTGAACACTTTAACACTGACAGTACAAAAATGCCCATATCAACTCCAACCTTGGAACAAATGTCAAGTCCTAGGCCAACAAAATGTCTCACACATTATGCTTCAACTGTAAAATAAAGCTCGTAATAAAAATCTTAACACATCTATGGTTTTTATGGCTTTTGGGTGACTTGTCATTTTAGTATTGAAGATTTAGTTTACTATGTTTTTATACCTTTATGTCTTTATTTAAACTCCATATTATTCATTTTATTTTTCTTTGCATATATTTCTGATATTTGCTGCTAGAGAATGTGTACAACATAGGCAGTGTTGGGGAGTAACGGAATACATGTACCGCCGTTACGTATTTAAAATACAAAATATGAGTAACTGTATTCCGTTACAGTTACCGTT